TGGATGGAAACACACAATATGTGTTTTGATAGCTCAAATTAGAACTAATGAAACTAGAAACTTTGAAATGGGAACTCAAAAAGCATTATAAAGAAATACGATTTTAAGACTTCTTATAGAAAAATCTCTTGGTTCTCCAGCAAGGAAGTATTCATAAATATTATTCATCCCAAATTCACTAAAAATGGACGAAGAATTCCCCTTAAATAAGAACCATCTAATATGCCCACTATAGGAGACAATGGGAATACACTTTTTGAATTGAACAAGATGAGTAAGAGTATGTGATCTTTTCGATCTCTCTAACGCTGATAATAGTGATTGAGATATATCTGATCTGATGAAAAATGCATTTTATTCATTTTTATTGTTGTCATCTCCAATCATTACAGAACGAACTTCTGATTATAGAATGTTAATCTCAGACATATTGACTATAGGCATTTTCTATCCCAAGAATGCTAAATTCATAACTAAACATCTTGAATTTTCAGTATACATCTTTACTCTAAAAAATCCCTGCTTCATCTCAGATTTGAAAGAAAGAGAAATCAATAGTTTTGATCATTAAATTTAAAATTGAAAACATTTGGTAAAAATTTTTTCAGTATGCTCTACTTCTTTTGTCATCTTGAGACCATGCAATTTATTCAATACTAAATAGGTTTGGCTAAAACGCAAATAACTAGGAGAAATTATAATTGTAAGTAAATGGAATAGGAAATAAGGATGAATATAAATGGTTAAAATAATATTTTTAGATAAATAGGAATATGAGTTTTCAAAGAAAATTCATGATGCAGTAGGCATGGTTAAATAGGGCTACTTGTTTAGATCATTGCAGATATATGAGGAACTTAGGTCTGAGACATAATAAAAACCTCAAAACTTAAGAGAGCATGAAATTTATTTACTTATGTAACTGTATCGGAACAGAAAATAGTTAGTAATGAAAAGATGTATAAATATTTTATATAGTTTTCATAATCATTTAATTATCAAAAGCATTTAAATTTGAGAAAATAAATATTTTGATTTATATTTTTCATTGTTATTTAAGGAGTTTTTAATAAGAATATTATCATCTAGATCAGTTCTCATTTAATTTAATTTAAATTCTGTTTTGATTCACTAAGTAGAGTTCTATCTCTTAATAATTCAGAATTATGAACATATTATTTTTTAATTAATTTACCGACTCATGGTAAAATAGGTTTAATATTTTGAAATCAAATATTTAAGCTTAAAATTATTGTTTTTAATTAAAATATAAAGAGGTATATTTTTATCTTATAAAATATAATTAATCTTTAAGGTTCCTTCTTTCGAACCAACTTCAGTTAGATCTATTAAATGGAGATGGGTAAGCAGCTTATAATGAAATAAGAATCAGGATCATAACAAGATAATAGAATGTTTATGAGAGTGCATCATGAGTCTACAAATATTTTACATCATTATATGAATAAAAAGGATTATTTTCTTTTTTGAAGAATTTTTCATTGAAAAGAGTAATGTATAACAGAAGGTTAATCCAGCAATCATTACATGTAGAACGAAAATTCTGTTAAATTGATTGATAGATAGGGTATCGCTAGTTAATAAACAGTAATTAATTTGTTAAATATAAATAGATAGCAATTGTAAGGATTAAAAAATATTTAAGAGTTACTGTTGATCTCAGTAAACCCAATTGATTTCCAGAAATTCCCTGTTTAATACAATGTTAGATAGTTTTATTATTAAATCAAGAGGATTTCATTATTAAAATATTGCTAAATCACTTATTGCTTAGGATCAATATATCCATAATCATACTTAATTAATTAGTTCTAACATCCTTCAATAAACTATTAATAACCACTTTAAGATTAGATCAATAGCTAATCACATTAAGAAAAAGCTTAGTAGTTGTAATAAACTTAAAAAGTATCAGCTAAACCATTGATAGCATAGTGTTATGCTTCTTGAAAAGCATAATTCTAAGTGAAGATAAACTATAAGATGAATTTTTTGAATAGTAAATATATATAAGGGTTTGATCTTTAAGGTATACCTAATTGGATAAATTAATTTTAGTAAGATGTTAAATTGTTAAACTGAGATGAGAATAATGTAAGAATAGACAAATTTTTGTAATATTAGGCATAAATAAGGAAGGAGGTTGGTTCATTATAAATACCTTTGATGTCAGTTGATTATGGTTATTTTGCTTCGAATGAATAAACTATATCAAAACTAGTATTGATTAGTTTTAATAAATGAAAATGTTCATCAGTATAACAATCAAGCAAAATATCGATATCAGCCAACAAAATAATATTATAACATTTATAGAAATGAGTATATAATGCAAATATAAAATATCTTAAGAGTAATTAATTATATAAATGTTATCTGATTTAGATAGAAAGGTGTGTTAAAAACATAAATTAGAGATTTTAACAATAGATTTAAAATAATCAACAGCTGATGAAGATAAATTCCTTTGCATAAAGTGTTTAATGGAGAAAATTGATATTTAAAACATGGCTTTGGTAGAAGAAACTAAAATAATGATTAAATAAATGAAAAGTGAGTAGTTGAACAACAAACTCAAAGATTATTAAAGAAGAATTCAAAACTTTAAATAAATTGAATCATAAGTAAAAGAAATGAAAGTGTCAATCAATAATACCATAGATAAACTATAATCTAATTTAAATTAGAAAATAACTCTAATGGAGAATGAATTAGATGATTCAGAATCAAAAACTATAGTCTCTACTTTTGAAGAAGATATTAGAATTTTATCGAAGATTTACAAAGGATCATTCAATTTTGAAATTCCTAAAGAATATGAAAAGTCTTTGGATGATAATTCTTATATCGATTCAATTGAATAATAATTATAATCAATAATCAATTGTCCTAAATTAATTGAAATCAAAGAATGTTTAGAAAAAACAAAAGTAGAAAATGAGAATAAAGAAGTAAAATAATTCTAATTACTTAACAAAAAAGAAGAAGATCCATAAGTAAATTATTATTTATTAATTATTAAAATAGAAAACACCAAGTTTAAAGATTTAATGTAATAAACATGGAAAAGAAATTATTATGTTTAATTTGAATCCTGATAAAACAGAATACTCTAGATTGGCTTGTGTTGAATGTATATAATCAAATAATCCAATCAAATACACTACTTTAGAAGATACTAATCTTAAATGGAATGAATATTTGGGATAAAATAGTGATTAAATCAAACGATTTTAGAATCAAAGACACTTGAAATCAACATAAATCATTGATATTCTTCAAGATATTAAAGAAAAGTATAATTCTACTATTTCAGAAATCATAAATAAGATAAATACTTAATATTCAATGTTTTATTAAAATCAAATTAATGAATTTAATGACAATATCATTTTTTAAATGAATATTGAATAAATCGATGAATTAACTGAGATATTAAGTTAAAATGATAAATTCTAAGTTTTGTCTGAAAAACAATTTAATATTTAGAAACAAGATTTTAATTAATTAGAATTGATATCAACTAATTTTGGAAAATTGATGTAAAATGATTTAGTAGCAA